CGGGGTCTCAGAGCCACTGAAGAGGATGTCGGGGAAGTTGGCCTGGTTGGACGTGATGTCTGTGGTGCCAAGAGACCCCCCACTCCCATGGCTGAGTGGGCATCAGTGGCATCCAGGAGATGGACGGAGGACCACCCCGCCTTTTCAGCAGCATGCAGTGTTGTCTTTTTTTTCTTGGTGGGGCCAGAGTCCTCAAACACACCAGGAACAGGGGTGCATGCCGGGCCCCCAGGACAGCAGGGTGGCCTGCAGGCCTGGCTGGATCTCATCAGCGGCATCAGGGCCTTCTGGGGCAGCACAGGCCGTGGCCGCCTGCTCTGTCTTCAGGTGGAACCTGGAATGGCCACTGCTACCCTCCTCTGGGAACCACTTCCTGCTGGTGCTGCCACCGCCCCCATCAGAAAGCAGGGTGCCCTCCCTGGGCCCCAGGTACTCACTGCCATCCAGATAGGGGGTCACGCCATCCAGATTGCTGGTGGGATCATTTTCTCTTCCTCTTCCACATCCAGAATAAACACCTGTGCGCCCTCACCTCGGGGCAGTCTCGCTCCTGCGCCCTCACCTCCGGGGGCAACCTTGCCCCTGCACCCTCACTTCGGGGGCAGCCTCGCCCCTGCACCCTCACCTCATGGACAGCCTCGCCCCTGCGCCCTCACCTCATGGGCAGCCTCGCCCCCTGCACCCTCACCTCAGGGGCACCCTTGCCCTGTGCGCCCTCACCTCGGGGGCAGTCTCGCTCCTGTGCCCTCACCTCATGGGCAGCCTCGCCCCTTCACCCTCACCTTATGGGCAGCCTCGCCCCGTGCGCCCTCACTTCGGGGGCAGCCTGGCCCCTGCGCCCTCACCTCGGGGGCAGCCTCGCCCCGTGCGCCCTCACCTCGGGGGCAGCCTCGCCCCCGCGCACCCTCCTCTCCAGTCCCCTCGGAAGCTCTTGTTACCGCACGGGAGAGGCTTCACCCCCCTTAGTCTGTGTTGAGCAGATCACTCGACAAGCGGGACGGTACGGACAGAGCCGGGCACGAGCTTTGAAAGCAGCCGTGTTAACAAGCTGTGCACACAACAGAGGCTGGCCTGCAGAACGTGAAGACACCCGAAGCCCCGGCTGTCGGAGACTCAACACAGGGCACCCACATTGGATGGTCCCCACCAGGAAGGCGTTCAGGGAACCTCTGCCGGCACTGCACGGCCGCCCTGGGGCGCAGTGGGTGCCGCCCTGGCTTGTCTGGGGAGCAGGGTGTGGCTTCACCAGCCTGGACGGCAGAGCCGCCCCCACATCCAGCCATCTTTCCATTCCCTACCTCTCCTTCCTGTCTATCCCTGGTAACCCTCCGTGGTTGAGCCTGAGAGTAAATCTTTTCCTTGGTGTGATGCAGTAGCTGTAGTTGCTGTTAGGTGCGGTCAACGACTGCTCATAGTTTCCCTGGATCTGAACCCTGCCCTGTCCTGCGCCACTCTAAGAGTGGACTTCATCATAGTTGTCCTTTTCTGACAGTCTTATGTCACTCTGAACAATTTTCTGTAGCATCACCCACACTCTGCAGTGCTTCATGGTCATTTTTAGCATTCCTACCGCCTCTGAAAACCCGCTGGAGGGGTCAGCTATGAGTTGGTCCCAACTGGATGCTATATAACAACAAGCTACAGTGTTGCATACTACTCCATTGTGTGAAGGTAGCACCATTTCTGCAGGCATCTGTCCAATGATGGACTCTGGGGTCATTTCCTTTTCTTTGCTACTGCTAATAATTTTACAATAAACATCAGAGTGCCTAAAACTCATCTCATGGCTCTTTTTTTCTCTCCAGGATATATACCCCATAGTGGGATCACTGAATCAACTGAAATTTCTAGTCCCAACTTTCTAAGCAAGTCCCAAACTGTGTTCTGTAATGGTAGTAATATTCTCCAGTCCCATGAGGGCTGGTGGTCCGGTGGCCTCAACTGCTGGCTTTCCATTAGCCACTGAATGTCTAAGCACTGTGTCCCCAGACCATCTTTCAAGAGGGGCAGCGGTCCTCTAACTTGGGCCCCAGGTGAGCACGATGGGCCACCTGCCAGCCCCAGAACAGAGCAGGCCCTCCTAGAACTGAGGAACAGGAAGCATCTCTGACCTTGAACTTTCCACTCTGTGACGCACAACTCTGCTGTTTTATTTTTGGAGTCAAGTTTGTTCTTTAAAGAACCAGAGTCGGAGGCGTGAACGGGGAAACGCACGGTTACCGCCGTGACACAGCAGCACAGCAGAACCCAGAGCCCCCGCCCCCACCCCCAGCCACCTGGTCGCCGAGTGCCCAGTCCTGGGAGTCTGCTTCTCCAGTCTTGACCCCCATCACGCAGCCACTCAAAACGTCTTCACCCCCCTTTCCCTACCATGTGGGGCTGGAAGGGCATTGCTGAGACCCCCCCCCATCCTCCAGCAATGAGAAGTGGATTTAGGGGAGACCCACAGGCCCCCCCCAGCCACACCCCTTTGCCTACCAACAGCCACTGTCCCGCCAGGACACCCTCTCACCTCCACCCAGCCTCATCGGCACAGCTCACTGCCAGAAGTGGTTTCCAGCCGGTGTGGACGTAGCCCTGGTGGAGCAGCGGTTAAGGCATTTCACTGCCTGTCAAAGGTCGGCTGTTACTAAACCCCCTAGCCGCCCAGCGGGGAGGGCGAGCAGGAGTCTCTGAAGCGTTCACGGCCTTGGACACCCTGGGGGGCTCCCCTGCCTCTGGGGCAGCTGTGAGTCAGAAGGGAACTGGACCCTGGTTGGCGGTTGGGAGGCCCCGTTCCTGAGGGCTTCCTTGGCTCTGATCCTGAGGGCAGGCGGGCACTGGCGGGTTCAGTCAACCATCCCAGCAGAGGCCACCTAGCCCTCTCCGGCTGGTGGGTGAGGGGCCCTCCCTCAGCGGTGCACATCTGCTGGCCCGTGTCCACCCCCCACACCCCCCTATCACATCCCTCGTCTGTGGGGGTGGCGGGGTCACGTCCAGAGCCTGCAAGCAGAGCATGAGCATAGCTTGGTGGCCTCACTCCACACAGCGGCCACGACGGCAGGATCGCAGCCCAGCCAGGCCCAGTGGTTCTGGGGCGCGTGACGGCGCTCTGGGGGAGCAGTGCACTGGCGAGCCACGCTGCTGACCTCCAGGCTGCAGGTCTCACATGGGGTGAATCCACTAGGCACCCCACAGGAGGAACCAAGTCTCTTCCCTTGGGGTTCACAGCCTCCAACTCCCAGGGGTCCTGTTTCTTTCCTTAAATGAGTCAGGGTTTCGACATGGAGACCGCTGTCAGAGCCGCGGACTGAGACCTAAACCTTCGTACTCGGGGCGCTCGAGTGAACCCACTCAAGGCAATGCGTCTGAGGCTCGCCGTCATGTGGGCTGCCCATCAAAGCTACCTTTCCGGTTTGCACTGCTCGTGGTGAGCGCTGTCAAGGCAGAAACAGCTCGCACGGAGCTGACCTGCCAGCGGCTGCAGCCGGTCAACCACAAGGGAGAGTGTCGCGCTTTCTCCCAGAGCAGCTGGTGGACTTGAACTGCCCACCTTACCCACGTACGAGGCCACCAGGGTTCCCCGTCCTACACTGTATTGTTCAGACTCGGCAGCAGGGCCCCTGACTGGTCATCTAAGGGGGCTCTGGCCACAATGAGGGGGGCACGCTGCCCTGAGGCAGGGAGGTGCTGTCCATGGCGGGGGACACACTGCCCATGGTGCGGGGGGGCACACTGCCATGGCGGGGGGGGGCGCACTGCCCACTGTCAGGCAGGCAGCAGCGTGCTGAGGGACCAGCACGAGTGCAATTCTGTTTGGCAGGAGGGGAGTGGACGGAGGGGAGTGGGCCGAGGGGAGTGGACGGAGGGGAGTGGACAGAGGGGAGTGGACGGAGGGGAGTGGGCTGAGGGGAGCTCGCGGCAGTCCCTGTGTGAGGGGCGGGCCCTGTGATCATCGTGCACTCCAGAGTGCTGTTTGGGGTGTTTATTCTGATGACAGTGCTTTGAGCTCGGCTGCTCCCCACAAGGTCAGCAGCCCAAGCCCCCCAGTTGTTCTGCACAAGACAGAGCACACGGAGGATCCAGACACAGGGAGGCCATGAATGAGCATCAGCCCCCACGGCTGTGGGTGCGGGACAGCGGACACCAACGAGCTGCTGGGGGCACGGGGGACCCTCACTGTGAGGCCACCCCGCAGAGGGGGCACGGAGGTCACTGTGGGCCGGTCCTGTGAGGCCACCCCGCAGAACGGGCACAGAGGGGCACTATGGGCCGGTCCTGGGTCTGCAGCACTCTCGTCCACCTCAACCCCTGCAGTGTCCGTGTCAGAAGAGCTGCTTTTTCGGGGATCACCTTCCCCCAGATGCCTCTGGACGGCCTTGAATAACCAACGTTTGGCCTAGAAGGTGAGCTTCCTGCAGAGACTCAAGCCCAGGCTGGTGCTGCGGTCAGCACGGGGGCAGCCACCCCTCCACACAAGGAGGGTCCTCGGAGCTCAGCAGAGGACACCCAGGCTTCCACAGCGCACTGGGCTCATCCCGGGGAGTCCCGAGGCACGCCCTGCCTCCCAGGCCCCCCCTGAGCTTGAGGAGGGGCTCTCAGGCAGGGTCCCCCCGTCACTGTGGCCAATGTGCCCATCCCCCCGACGCTGGGAGCATCCCAAGAGGACACACTGTGTGGGCGGGTGCTGCCCACCATACAAGATGCGCGTGCGCTGCACACCCCACGTCTGAGTAAGAACCTGGAGGGACCCCCACCTCAGCAGTGTCCTGGCCACCCACAGAAGGACCAGGCAAATCCACCGCCTCCCCTCCTGACCTGACAGCGCGTCTGCATTCACAGGCCAGCGGCTGGCCCCGGGCCCCCTCACCAGGTAACACCAAAGGGCCCAAGAACTCAAGGCCTGGGAGGGACGGGGTCCCAGCTGCCCCAGAAGACCACAAGGTGACCTCTGACCCGTAGGTCCTGCCATGTGCAAAAGGGCCTCAGGGGACACATGAACCACAGAGGAAATAGGGGGAGCCTCGCCCAAGAGAACTGCCATTTATTCCCAAAGTTGCCAAAATCATCACCGAGGGTTCGCCAAGGGTGCGTAAGGGGAACATGGAAGCTCCAACACTGATTGAGGGGAGTCAAGAGTTTGGAGGGGCGGGAAGAGGACCCCCTGCTGCCCCTCCCCCTTCTAATGCCTCAGAAAAGGTTCCTCCTCCACCAGCGCCCGCCCCACCCCCCAGGTCCAGTCTCTCTGTGGGGAGGGGAGTGGGGGGCGATGGGAAGAGGGTGTAGTGTGAGTGGGCCCCGGAGGGGAAAGGGGCCCCCATTTCACATGCACTCAACACTGATCCCCAGGGAGCAGGAACGGGGGAGCTGGGCGGGACCAAGTCCCCCTCCCCCGGGATTATAGGAGGAAAGGGTTAGTGTTGGGGGCCGGGGGGCCCGGGGGCATCATGGGGGGTAGGCCAGGGCCCCCGCCAAGGGGAGAGATGTACGCAGGCGGCCCACCGGGGACGGGGGGCGCAGGGCTGAGACGCAGCTGGTTCAGAGTGAGCGTGGCGGGGGGCGCGGGCTGGAATGGGTTGGTGACCGAAGGGCCGGAGGCTGGGGCACCTGCGAGGGAGACAGACAGACAGACATCCAGCGCAGAGTCAGTGGCAGTCTGGAAACGCAACACATCACGGCGCATGCAGGCACTGGACCCTCCCGTGGGGCTCCTAGCCAGGGAGGGGGGCAGAGGGTCCCCGTGAAGAGGGAAGGATGACTGAGAGCAGCAGAGGGGCCGGGGGTGAGCAGACCGGGGGTGGAGGGGGGTAGGGGGTCCACTCACCGCTTGGCAGGAACGGGTTGGAGGCCTTGGCTCCTGGGGGCGTGGGGCCAGGCCGGCTCACCAGCGAGTCCAGGTCCACGAGGGCTGCGTTGGGCCCCAGGAATGACTCGGGCGTCTTCCGTGTGGGGGGCGTAGGGGTCGGGGTGGCTGCAGGTGGGGGGCTCCCCACAGCCTCAGCCAGGGAGCCCCCAACTCCGCTCATGTCGAAGGCCCCAGGGCTGCGGGCGGGCACCTCTCCAGCCAGCAGCTCCAGTTCTCCTGGAACAAAGCAGGCAGGGTTCAGGAGGACTCGAGGGCTGCAGGGCAGGGTCTCTCCTCAGGGAGGTCTGCTACCCAGAGGACGCGGGTGGGAGGTGGGCAAAGGCTCAGAGAGGAAGTGTCACTGGCTAAAGAGGGGAACCCCAGAAAGGCTATTTGCAAGAAACAGGAAGTGACATGTTGGCATGGATGTAGGGCCAGGAGCCTTGGCCACTCCAGCGCTGTGCAAATCTATAGCTGCTACAGGAAATGGTATAGCTGTCCCTCGGGGTCACAGGGACCCACTGAGCTGTCCCTCAGGGTCACAGGGAACACCTGGACCAAGCCCACTGGCGCCCAGTGGCTTCTGCGCCCCAGAGCCTCCATCAGGCTGTGAGGCAGGACGTCGCTGAGCAGAGAGCTGGCCTTTCTCCCGCGGCTCAGTCAGTCCTGACTACCCAGCTCTCGACCCTGTTAGCAGCCCCGCACAGGACACCATCACCACCAGGCGCTAAGAACTAGCCAGGACCCATCCACGCCACTCCTCAGTGTCCACCAGAACTGAAGGAGGACAGAGACGTGCACCGTGTCACGGCACCAGCCCGCATGACAGCGACAGGTGGAAACAAACGTCAAGTCTCCCAAAGGAGGAGCTGGAGAGCACAGCGTGCAGACGGCAGAATGCTGGGCTGGGGAGGGCAGAGCAAAGGCCAGGCGTGCCAGGCTGCAGACGGCAGAATACTGGACCAGGGAGGGCAGAGCAAAGGCCAGGCATGCCGGGCTGCAGACAGAATGCTGGACCAGGGAGAGCCAAGCAAAGGCCAGGCGTGCCAGGCTGCAGACGGGAGAATGCTGGGCTGGGGAGGGCAGAGCAAAGGCCAGGCATGCCAGGCTGCAGACGGCAGAATGCTGGGCCAGCATGGGCAGGCAGCGTAAAGGCCAGGCGTGCCGGGCTGGTGGAGACCACAGGAGCCCTAGACGGCGGCCTTTGGGGGTCCTGTGGCTCCACTCTGACCACACCCCTGACAGCTGTGCGGTGCACCAGCACCTGGGAGGAGCGCGCTGCTCGGAGCAGACAGCACGTGGGGCGAGGGGCGTCTGCCTGGGGACGCGCAGCTGGGAGGGCAGGACAGAAGGGCGAGCGGACAGAGCTCAGGAAGCGAGGACAGGGCTGTCGATCACTCTGTGGGCTGCAGTCAGCAACACACAAGGCATCTACGAACTGCTGAGTGCACAACCAGGCCCAAACCTTCACCGAGATACAGTGACTGAGTCGGCTAGACAGAGATGGACAAAGAGACCACGGTCTCTCTCTCATTGTCTGCACCTCAGAACCAGCTCAGAGCTGCCACCACGGAGGAGAACACTGCCCCCCTTTCTCCTGTGGAGCCACTGAGGAACTCAAACCACAGAGAGGTCCCCGCATCACAGGAGGTCCCCACATCACAGGAGGTCCCTACATCACATCACAGGAGGTCCCT